ACACATAATAGGAATATTTCTTGCGCGCGGGCTTGCGGTGATTTTCGCATCGAATTATACGTATTATGTTCTTTGCCTACTACCGGTATCTGTACACACATAGCAATGCAATAGGCCAGTCGACCCCGAAATTTTGTTCCCAACGCAAGTACGTCCTATAACGATCTCGATCGTACCGAAGTGTCGACGTACTAACAGGGGAAGAAATGTTACTGCGAACCAAACTTCGTTGATAGTGTGGTGTACACTCGAGATCACAAACAACTTTACGTCGACGAGGCGAACGTTTTTTAACGATAGGGCATATGACACGTGGCGGCTCCGGAGAGATTCGTATATCGTTTTCAGCAACGAGCTTTTAGCGCAGTATTCGTTTTTAACCCGAACGGTACCGAATAATCGCGTTCTAGATACCGGTAGACGAGACAGTAGCGGCGCATAGTAAATATTCTGGGGAGTCTAAAATTATTTAACATAAACTCCACATAACAATGAACAAAAATAAAAAAAAATTATTGGACAATAATAATAATCAATATTTAATTTAATATAAGCTAATATTTTTAACTGAATTTAATATAATAGCCTCTTTTATCAAAAATCGCACGTTTAAAGTGAGGATAGATACTGATATCTCTGTAGAACATCCAATAAAAGCAGGAGTCCCACAGGGATCGGTCCTTGGGCCCACCTTGTTTAATATTTTTTGCTATGACATCCCAGTTCCACAAAAATGCCAATTAGCAATGTACGCAGATGATACTGTTATCTTAACACAACATAAAAATCTTGAAAATTCAATAACAGATCTACAAATTTCTTTAGATCAAATCTCAGACTGGTTTACAAGATGGAAACTCGCTCTTAACCCAACTAAGAGCAAAGCTAAACTACTTAGCCTAAAAAGATATACAAATCCAACCCAATTAAAAATTAATAATCAGCCTATACTATGGAATAATAAAGATCAATCAATTAAATACCTCGGAGTATACCTTGATGAGAAATTAACATGGAAAATGTATATAAATAAAAAATTGAACCAAGCCTATACACGAATAAAAATCTTATACCCCCTAATAAATTACAGCTCAACACTTCAAATTAAATGCTCTCTTCTAATATATACATCAATAATAAGACCACTAATTACATATGCATGCCCAATATGGGCAGCCGCATCCCAAACAAAAATCAAAAAATTACAAACGATACAAAATAAATTCCTTAGAATAGCTCTTAAAGCCCCATGGTTCATGCGAAACACACAAATCCATAATGACACTGGTATACCTTACATAAACACATGGATAACTGAGCAATTTAAAAAATTTCACATGAAACTAAAAACAATAGAAGGCGCCCTTCACTTCAAAATTGGGCAGATAACTAAAAACCGCAGACTTAAGCCACGGCTACCTCAAGACATCTTGCTACCTCCAGAATCATCTTCATCATCTTCATCATCGGTATCATCAGAACAATGGCCTAACTAAGCGACTCATAATCTAAATTCAGTTTATTAAAAATTTAAAAAAAGTACAAACTGTATTACTCTATATAGGAAATGTATGAATAATATAAATGTATAAAAAAAAAAAAATTGTAAAAACAAACATTTTGTTGAAACAATTATAAATAATAAATGAAAAAAAAAAAAAAAATTTAACTGAATTTAATACTAATTTTTTTTCGCGTTCATGTTCTCCGGCGGCAGCTGTTTAGGGTTTCTGTACGGGGTTGAATAACAATAATCGTCCGAAACCGGTGCCGCGACCGCGTTCCATTTTTGGCGAGTATGCTATGTTATATTACGCGCGTTCCGCAGGTGAGTCATTCCAACACATTAATCCGTGTTTATAAAAAAGCGACTCGCCAAATCGATAGCTCCGAACGCTCCAAACAGTCGTAATGGCAGGGCGAGATGTTCACACGTGTGTTGATTGCGGAAATCGGACGAGACTTAATGATATTTTTCATATATTTTTTTCCTTAATTTTTATTTGTCCGTCCATCTCCGGAAGTTTTTCCGTTACGACGCGGCGCGTAAACGGATTCGTAATCACCGCATGGTGATGACGACGGGGGAAACGGTGCGCATCGCGCAATCAAATTACCGGCGAAACTTGACGGCGCGTAATTGATTAATTGGCTTAAAATAATGGGAAAACGCGTTCGGTCGGTCCCTCGGCGTCGGTTCTCGCGTGTGTGTCGCGTACACATAAGCAAGCTATAAACGGCGCGAACGGATTCCGAGGGATTCGATGGGCCCGCCCGCGGAACACAATTCGCCGCGGACGGAGACGCGAATCTTATTGCACGTTTCAACCGGCGGCCGCGGGCGTAAAGTTCGAAACGTAACGCAACTTAATGTAATAGCGCACGAGGCGAACGCGATAACGACCCGTCAGGACAGCGGTAAATACGCGCTTTTGACGTTCGACGTTGAAAACAAACAATGTATAGCGTCTAAGGACGCGTCTACCCTGCGGTGCGCGACTGATTACGATAATATTTCCAGCGCCACCGACGACGACGACGACAACCGCGATTATTATGACAACGTAATTGTTTGAATCCGTTGTACGCCGCAACGTCGTGTTGACGTACCGCATGATTTTTGTGTTAGTTTTTCGTCGTGTCCTGCGTTGTGCGTTCCGTTCTTTTTGCACTGCACTCGTCGAGCTACAAATATCCTCGAGTCTTGCGGGAAATCCGTCTGTTCACGTTTTTCCGTGCACTTTTGATATAGGTTCTTGCTCAAATTGCGCCGTATGTTTTAAAACCGTTATTTTCCATGAAAATCAATTTAACATTAAAACAATTGAGTTATGCAATTGAACTGAATGGGAAGGGAGGCGTGTTATGCTTTGCTCCTCAATGGACGGTCGTACGATCCGCCATTTAAATTCCCATGTATTTCAATAACAGTATAATGCCATATGCGTGTGATGCGTCTGAAAATCTAGAACCTTTCGATTCGCAATATTTCCTAGGTGATTAATCGAAAAGTGATGATATGTACACATTCATCCCAGAATTCAAATCTGTTTCGACCCTTAAAAATTCTATTTTGATAAATCCTATCTTATTACATGTATACATAGCTATAAGTACATTCTCTCAACATTTCAATTCTATCGATATGTGATAATTTATGCTGTACACTATTCAGTGTGTGATTGGTATTTTAATTATTTATACAGGTCATGTGATAGGATAATTTATCGTTTATAAGCCTATTGTGGCTTCTAAATGAGGACATGTATGATGTCAGTGACGCAACTTCGAGACAACAGATGACATTTCAAATCGCGATCGCGTTGTACAACATGTGTTCTTTTTTTCTTCTTTCTTATAAATATCGGTCGGTTTCAATGAAACGTATAATGAACGGTAAAATTCAACTGCAATAAAGAAACCACACGACGACTTTTTGAAAATGCAGAGTTTTCAAACTTTCTACATACGACGCGATATCGACCAACCACTCACAACGACTACGCGAACGGCTCACCGCAATACCACCACATGATATACGTTCTGATATTTTCGAATGCGAGAATTTCAATAATGTGTACGGTTTATATTTTATCTGCCACACGAATGCGTGGAAAAGATTTCGCGTTATCGCGTACGACATTTTTCTCGCGCGAAACCCGTACGCCGACGGTCCATTGTCGAGTGCTTATCTCGCGACGAAAACGTCTTTTAAATATTTCAGCTGCAGTCGTTGTACACGGATAATGTACGAAACACGCACTGTCCCCGCACAATCGACCCCAGCTCGGTGCCCAGTAGTCGAATGCATTTTGCAACGGGGACAATACAAGCACTGCGCACCAAACGCGTCTGTTTTTCCACCCTCGTATATCAACGCCTGGACCGACGAAGATTACGTTTAGAATTTCAATACCGTTTCGGCGTGGCAAACGATTTCAAATAGTTTCCGTACGGTCACTGCGGCTGGCTGATCGTCTCCTCGTGCGCGCCGCAATGACATCATGCCATCAATATGCCATAATATCAATACCACAAAGTCAACGTAATTCGATGGAGTTCGATAGCACTACTGCTGCCGTATCGTATATTCAGTTGGATAGAGTCCAACGTCGTGCTCACAACTTTGTCTGTATTTCCTGTCGAGTCCTTTTTGTATCATTTACGCATGTAAGTTAGGTACGTATCGCCACTTAAACCTTCGCCGTTCGTACCGTTATAAATCAAAAATCGGCTTTGGTTTTCTGTTGATATGTATCCAAACGAATACGACATCAAGGATTGGGCAGAGTATTGCGCACTGTCGCTGCGACCTGCGACAACGGTGCGAGACTTATTCGGCGCAATACTTCCGGTAGTGCGAGCAATCCAAACGAAAATTTTTCGAAACGGGCGCGACAAAACACGTTACGGACAGTGCCCCGTCTCACGCTGGTGGTGATCCGATAGCACAAACATGATGGATACATCAGGTGGACTTCGTCTTCGCGAACGACCAAAGTAAAAGATATTTAATAACAAAGGAAAAGAAACGCACTGAGTTGACTTGATTTCCGCGTATCCACCGTTCGTTTTGGTTTCCGCTGCGCTTCCACTACCTCTCCTCGCGACACGTCCGCACCCTGTTAAGACAACAAGACATGCCCTTCCACGCTCGTTTTGTAAGTCGCATATAAGACCGTAAACACACGATTTGAAATGTAATAAAATCTCAATGCATACGTCTTTCGCACACAAAGACGTAAGATTTACGCCTATTATCTGTTCTCAGGGTCAGAAGGTTTGTTTGGGAATCACATTTTTCCAGAATTCCTGGTGTTTTAAAGGTTGATCGTTGTGAATGTATTGTTTATAAATGTGCTGTATTATTACACTGTACGTTGTACGTTTGTGAACAATAAATCGTTTAACAATCTATGAATATATAAAACAATCGGAGTAAGGTATGGTTTTAATTTGTTTACTGTGACTTGTTGACGTAAAGTAAGAACCATACAGTAATGGCACTTCAGCGTGATGAGTTGCAGGTGATTTAGGATTCGTGTTTAATTAAATTTAGAAGGTCCCGAGTACATTGCCTTATGATACTCGTGCAGGGATTTTGAAAATAGGGATTTGTACGGGTTTTAAAGTCATTTATACATTTTGAGTAGTGTAATTTGGCTGTTGCAGTGACTTAAGAAGTATAGAGATATGTGCATGGTTTCGAGATATATGGAGAAGCGTTAGAAAGCCAGACATTTTCATTTTTATTTTATCTATTTCATTCGGGTAGTCAGGATGAATTTCAATATCTCGACATAAATTTAATTCCCACTCCACCTCTGTAACCGCAGCGAGCACGCACGTCGTGTGTTATATAGTAAAACTTATATTACGTCCGTGTACAGTTATTGTTCATCACAATATTTTTACTTTTTTTCTTCCGATCCTTACCTTACGTTTTCTCTCTCTCTCTCTCTCTTTCTCTTTCTCTATCACTCACTCAATCACTCTTCTCTAAATATAAACTCTTTGTGAATGTATATTTCAATAATATTTTATTATTATACCACTGAGTATTGCCGTCTTCCATTCTCGTGTATGACTTGTGTTATGTATTTTATTATGTACTATATTTGACTATAAATATACTGTAATACGATTTTATACAAAATAAATTCATCAATATCGTATTTTTTTTTCATTTCTAAAGACCGTGCGATCTACTGCGTTATATTTAGCATTAACCATGGTATATGGCAAAATCCCTGTAACAAGCCGTGCTATACGCGTACACAATCCGTTGCCCCGTCACTGTGGTACCCTACATTATTTCATTTTACCATCGCAAATTTCGTCGCAAGATATTACGATTCGACAGAAAGCGATCGATGGGATGCACAGTGGAAAAATATACTTCCTGAATCGCGGAATCTACCAAATATATAACTTAAATAATATTTCGCTTTTTATTATGTTTGCTTAATGGACATAGTGTTACTATAATAGTCTCGACGTTTACAAGATCTAAGTGTGCAGATATTAAGAAAATATAAATTATTAATAAAGTCTTTGGTATTAAAAAATAAATAGATGATTAAAGAAGGAGACGGGTTTTATGCCGACTCCTGTATATTTCAACCCATGGTAGAATGTGCGACCAAGACCGATTTTCGTGTTAATATTGTCGAAATGCCGAATCCGATAGTTTATATTTGCTGCAAAATAACTTTCGACGACCGGAACTCTGAAACGTGTCTACAGCTCGCGTTAAGTTATTGCAAATGTTTAATATAATATTACATCGCGATAGTATTGTAAATTGCAGAGAGTATTTTCTAATAATCGTTGATCCGAAAATTGAGTCCATCAAACGTGGGTTCGAATAATTACAAAACCTAAAAGTTGAAAAGTCCCGGGCTTTTCATATTGCGAAAACTATCTTTATTCGGTCGGTAAATACACGAATTGTACAAATATTTTCTCGAGACTTGTACTAGCGATCGACACATACTTTTGAACGGTTTATAGTTATATCCTTAAATAATTTAGCTCCATGCTTAAGAATTTATTGATAATGCAATTATCTCGTTTTCTTTGAAGAACAGGTGTACGTATTATGTTTTTTGAAGATTGCATTCGATCGAATCCACAAATAATTGTATGATGATGTACTGCGTACGGTATCAGATTTGGTTCGTTAAAACTTTTTATTTGAATACTGTGTGAAGTTTCAAATGACAAAATGTATTTATATATTATATATATATATATACAGAACGTTCCTCGATAAGTTCAATATACTTCAATCGAAGTTTATACCACGACACGATACTATTTGCAGAACGCAAATGCATTCGGTACAGTTTTAAAGTGAAATGCTTTATAGTTTAACGTATTCTTCTTGCTGTACAATGTATGTAGCTGAAAATCTATAATTACATAGATGCGATCAATCGGAATTATATACGTTTTATTATTATTATTATAAATATTAAGTAACAATCGGGTGGTTCGTTTGATATTAGTAATTTAATTGTATAGTTATGTTAAATTACATAGTTATTGTAAGCGCACGTGACTGCAGTACTGGTGATGGAGTTTTTGAAAAACGCCACCGCAATCGAAAAAAAAAACTTACGGGAAAACCAAACAGTCAATTACGTGGTTAAAAATTACAAGTTATTTAAGTTTGCGTGTTTTTCTTTCAGATTGGTTGGATGAAAGCGGAAGATCAAACAATACTAACGTTTCACGAACGTGTCGTGGCTTCGAGCGGCCGATTCAGCGTGAGTCATGAGAATTACAGGATCTGGTATTTACACATCAGGGACGTGGAAGAAACCGACAAAGGTTGTTACATGTGTCAAGTGAACACGATCGAGATGCAAAAACAGATCGGCTGCTTGGACGTTTTAGGTGAGTGAACAAAATAAAAAAAAAAAAAAAATTAGAAAAAACCGACGATTGGAACGTTGAAAACTGCTCTTGATGTCCTTCACGTTGCGATACAGGAGCGCTGCTGCGCTCGTATTTATTGCGATTATTCGATAATTTATTCCGCGATTTGCCGTCGAAAATTGCTAATGCTAATGCGTACATGACGAGTAAGCGTAATAATAATTAACGAAAACTTGTAAAGTCGTTTACCAAAGTAACCGTTCACGGTGGGCAGAGGAGGAGGGAGGACAACCGCAGTCAAAACTTACCCCGCTTGTACGTATACACATATAGTATACATGTTTCCGTGGAATGAATGGCCGGTTGAAAATTAGTGTGTTACCGATCGATACGGCGCACACTATCATCGAGTGGGATACAACAAACGAAGTATGTGTTACTGTACAGCTTAACCCGTAATATGCTCGACTAGACCATCATTTATATATATACACCGGTGTATTGCGCGTCCGATAGGATTAAATATATCCGTCTCGTTGTTGCCGCGATCGTTTCCGTTTAAAAAAAAAAACAATCAACGCTTTTCGATTGCTTCGCGTCGAACAAGAGTCAGCGGTGCTCTCCCGGAACATCGACGTTAAACTTTAAACCCTGTCAGTCGCACCCGAAACCGATGCACGTGTGCAAGACGTCTGTACGCACGGTAGATTATATCGCGCACAAACTCCTAAGTATTTCGTACGAGCGCGTCAATCGAGCGTCACGATGTCTGAGCCGATCCGAAACCACGTCGCGCGAGAGACTCGTTTAAAACTTGTAACTTTATACAATTGCCTTCCGGTCGCGTTTCTCGACTGCTGAGAACGTCATATTTTCACCCCAGTCACGTCTTATTATTATTATTATTACTAAGACTGCTAATGCAACTACTAGTACTACCCCGTCATCATCGTTATTTGTATTATGTCTCGTTGGGGCTACCGTCGACGACCCGTGACCGCCGCGTGTATGGAGTGGCACGGAAGACCCGAGCGAAAGTTACCTACCACTGCGGTACAACGACAACGCGGTAATACGTTCGCGAATCGGGACAAGAATCACGGTAATCGTTGCGTAACGGATCAAATCGACATCGTAATCGTTCAGTTATTTAACGAACGTATAAACGAAAAAACGAACAGCTTGATTGTGTATAAATGAACGGTCAGCCTGGACGCATACTTTAAAAAAGCTAATAATTTAATTATTTCTAGTTATATTCTAGTTTTATTATTGTTATTTAATGGGCGCGTAGCAACAGTACTCGCATACGATTGAGCGTATATCCGATAAAGCGTGTTCCGATAAAAAGGCAACGACGCGGTGTATACGTATTCATAAGGTGGAGGGGTAATCGTAAAGGTATACGCAACTTCACGAATTAATTATCGTCCAGGGCGATGGGGGCGGGAGTAAAAAAAACCTTACGGTAGGCTCGTGCACTGATTATTATCGTGATATTGTCGGAGACGGCAACTCTGTTCCCGGGATCATGACGACTGCTTTTGTACTCGTCGACCCACGCGAATCTTTTCTCTTCGAATATACGTGCCGGTACGATAATCGTATACAAGCACGCGCACTCAAGAGCCGAAAAACGAATAAATATAATTACGATTCTCGAGCGTTCTCTGTATCATCTGCGCCCACGATTTTCACCGCTCTTCTATCGTTCACGGTTCCGTAATGATGCTAAATGTTGTTAAATTTTAACAACGATTAACAAACGGTTAATAATCGTAAACCAATATAAATTAAACAAACGTATAGCCTGGAGTGTTATTATATTTGTTATGTACGTACGGTTTCGAAGCCGAATAATATGGACATGAAGTTCGGTTTATGTGGGCAAAAATTTTTTATTATAGTGTTATATTATGTTCTAATCACTAATAAAATTGGATTTTGCTGTATCGATGAGATTGTGTTTATCAAAATTAACGAAAATCAATGGGAGCGTTATTAAGATAATTACAAAAAAAAAAAAAAAAAATTCGATAAAAATCATTTAAATTTTACCACGAATTTAAGCGCGATCGTGAACGCCTACTACGTCTCGAAAGATCTTTCGTTAGGAAAAAAATCGCTATTTTGGACAAAGTGAAGTCTCTCTTTGCAGGCGCTTGGCAATATAAAATTGCTGAAAAATTATGCTTCCCAGGATTTACATTGTTCATTACTATTTTTTATATTTATTCGTCTATTAATTAAATTTAATATTTTCTCCCCAATTCTATGGCATACGTGTACAAAATCAAAACTTATCGATATTAAAAATATACGTGCGTGAAGTTAGCCCCCCCGACATTGTCAGAACGACTCCGGACCAACGCCATTCTTTTATAACTCATTTGTAACTATTTGTACACAGTTTTCAGAATTTGTAACTCCTTACTTTGGGCGAAATCAACATTTTCCTGATGGGGGAACAGCCCCCCGACTTTGTCTCATCTACTCCGGACCAATGCCAATATTTCGTAACTCATTTGTAACTATTTGTAACACAATTTTCTGAATTTGTAACTCCTTACTTTGGGCGCCATAAAAAATATTTGATTGGGGAACTTCACGTAGCCCACCAGCGTCTATGAAGTTTCTCCCCTTCCATATGGTCCATATAGTAGACTTAAAAAAAATTGCGATCCCCGACCCGGGTGTTTTTGAAAATTTCATTTTTACTAACTATTTTTTAAATTTTTCATTG